TTGAGTCAATTTAATGAGTTTAATGAGAATATTTCTCCCTTCCCCTCCCTCCCTCCAAACCCTCCCATATGCCCCTCCCCAAGCTCCTTCAAATTCATGGCCTCTTTTCATACAAATTATTTGCATGTGTGTATGCATATACATGTATATTCCTAAATAACCTGTTCTGTGTGATTAATGCTACCTGTACTTATGTTTTCAGGGCTGACTGACATTAGAAGTCAGTTGGTGTGCTCTTCCCTGTCAGATTTTATTTTATTTCTTGAAGCACATCACAAAGGTCCTTGTGCCTACAGATCTCCAGGGAGATCAGGAATGCTAAGCACACAGAGCTGTCTTTCCAAGGGGAAAGCTGTAAGATCTGCTCTTCTGTCCAGAAAGCCGGGAACTGGAGGTAACCAGTAGCCTGATGATCTGTGTTATCTTTTGGGCCAGGCCATGTCACGCTCCTACAACCAGGACCAAAGGTGGCTAACAGACCAAATGAGCTCTACACTGTATGTCTGAGACCAGGCCAGACCCTTCCCAAGGCCCTTAAGCTACTGCAGGGAGCCTATCTCTAGAACCCATCTTCTTGGAGGGAATGACATGTACCCTTAGTTGAGTTTCAATGTAATTACATTTCCTTGTACCCCAGGGAGTGTATTACACCAGGAAGCTTCCCCCCCCCCCGAATTATACTGTGTTTAAATTTGTTGGGAGTAAACCGCCTGGCATCAGAGTCATGATCCAGGTTGAGGACTCAATCGGGACTGAGTGTTCATTCCCACCTCTTTGAGCTTTCCTTCCGACCTGCTGTGACCGCTTGCAATGGTCCTCTTCAGTTTATTTCTTTGTTAGTTGGTTGGGTTTTTTTTTGGAGGCAGGATTTCTCTGTGTACTTCTGACTGTCCTGGAACTTGCTCTGTACACCAGACTGATCTCAAACTCAGACATCTGACTGTCTCTTCCTCCTAAGTGCTGGGATCAAAGGTGTGCACCACCACCACCTTGCAATTTTATTTACTTTTTAATTAAAATTTTATTTATTTATTGTGTGTGCCTGTGTGGGGGCACATGAACACTCATGTGGAGTTAGAGGACAACTGAGGGAATTGGTTCTCTCCTTCCACCATGTGGGGCCTGGGGACTGAACTCCGGTCCTCAGGCTTGGCTGTAGGTACCTTTACCCCCTAAGCCATCTCCCCACCGGCGGCTCAGTTTTTGAACTGTCATCAACATTTATTATGTTTGCTGGTGAATCTCGATGTTAACAGGATCACCTCAGATTAGGTTTGCTAAGGCCAAGGAAATGAAGCACAGAGCACACAGGGTTTTTTGTTTTGTTTTTTGTCTTGGTTTTCTGCTTTTTGAACTTCTCAGTTTTTTTTTAATTTATTTTTCAGTTTAAATTTAGATAAGAAACAAGGTTGCTTCACAAGTCAGTTCCAGGTCCCTCTCCCTTTCCCTCCCCTACTCCCGTGCCCTCCCCCCAACCCCCCCATTATCCCCTCATTTCCCCAGGGAGGTTGAGGCCCTCCATGGGGGTGTCCATAGTCTGTCATTTCATACAGGGCAGGGCCTAGACCCTCCCCCCAAGAGTTCAGGGTGAGAGTGCACCTCACATTGTTGGATGGGAGTCCAAAGTCCGTGTGTATACTCGGGAAGAGTACTGATCTGCTGCCCAAGGCCTCCTCACTGACACCCACATTCAGGGGGGTCTTGATCAGTCCCATGCTGGATTCCCAGGCTGATGCCTGGGATTGAGCACACAGGTTTTTAATGGACCTGACTTCCCCTACAAAGTTGTAAATTCTTGAGAACAAAGATTATGTCTTGTTTGTAGTTGGGTGGTCAGTACACCATAAATGTACTGTCCTTGTTAGATAAAAGAGTAAGAGAAGATGCATATGAGATGAGGTTTTCTCGCCTTTGCCTGCCCTCAGCCCCAGCCCCAGTCACTCCTGAAGCCCAGGATGGGAGCTGTGTTGTAGTGGTAGAGTCATCATTTGAACAGTGGTGGCTGTCCTTCTGAACCGTTGACACTCAGGCCTTTTCTGCTCTGCGATTCTATTCTGATGAAACAATTGTGATTACCGCCTTGTCCCAGAGCAGACTGCATGACATTTCCCAGAACTCACTGTCAATTTCATGCACCGTTAGGTTTCCTGCTCTTTCCCATTTCCATTAGACTTTGCTTCCCCCACTGGGATGCCAGAACACCACTGGGGAACACAGTGTGAGCCGATGGCACGCTTGGGCGGAGGAGGCCATCAGTGACTCCGGAGAGAACTCATCCCTTAGCAACTGCCACCTACATGAAGGCTGCTGTCCAGGTGAGGGAAATCCACTCACTCCAGTACCCACTGTCACCCATGGCATTATGGATGCATTCACCAGCCACCACTAAGCACAAGATGGCCACTGTGTTCTTAATGCAGCATTCCAGGCAGAAGCTGGTGGATTTTCATGTTACTACTTGTCAATCTGACATGATTCATGACAAGCATTATAAAAGGAAAGATGGCCTGTCCCCAAACTGGATTCAGTTACATTGTGGCTCAGAACCTTTTGGTCATATGGAACCTCTAAAATACAGTGCTGTTTTCTCCTAACACCAAAACTCTGCAAGGGCTCTTTGCTTGTCCAAAATAGAGAGAAAATCTCTATAAAGATACCTTTTAAAAATAAAATGTCATTGAGGAGATGGTTGAGTGGGTCATGTACTTTCTGAGCAAGAGTGAGGATCCCCAGCACCTACATACATGCTAGGTGGGTGTGGCAGCCTGCCCACAAGCCCAACATGAGGGAGGGAAACAGGAGACCCCAGAATCTAGTTGGATAACTAACTAGATTAGCTGAAATGGCAAGCTCTGGATTCAAGTGAAGCACCCTGCGTCGATACATAAAGTAGACAGTGATCTAGTAAGATACTCAATGTCAACATTGGTTTATACACACTCACATAGGCACATATACATGTGCATAGGTATATGTGCCCACATACAGTGAATATGAACACACACACACACACACACACACTAAAATCTGTCAGTTATAGCGGTCCATTCTTACGCTTCCAGCTTCAGGAAGCTCGAGACTATCCTAGGCTGGGCTAGGACAACCTGGGCTACACGGTGATATCCTGTCTTTAAAACAACCTCACTAAATAAATGAGTAAATAAAATTTAGGTCCAGGGGCTTATCTCAGTGTTAGAATGTGTGCTTAGTGTGCACTAGGCTTTCATTCAATATCCAACACCAAAAATGTTAAATAAAAAATAATATTGAGGGAGTGCTGCCTCATGTTGTTAATTCTAGCCCTTGAGAGGCAGAGGCAGGCAGGTCCCTGTGAGTTCAAGTCCAGCCTGATCTGCAAAGTGAGAGTTTCAGGACAGCCAGGGCTGTGACACAGAGAAACACTGTCTCAAAAATCCCAAAATAATAATAATAATAATAACCATAATAAGTACTTCACGCTTTGAAGCATGAAGAGAACAAATGGTGCACATTCTCACTGCTCATGTCCTTTTTTTTTTTTTTTTTTTTTTTGAGACAGGGTTTCTCTGTGTAACAGCCCTGTCCTGGAACTTGCTCTTGTAGACCAGGCTGGACTTGAACTCACAGAGATCTGCCTACCTCTGCCTCCCAAGTGCTGGGATTAAAAGCATGCCACTATGCCTGGCCTCATGTCCTTCTTATCAATACTAGTCAACACTTATGATACTGCATTAGTGATAATAAGCAGTTAGAAATGTTAAACTTGCTGGGTATGTTGCGCTGCACTCAAGAGTCAGAAGCATGTGGATCTCTGAGTTGAAAGCCAGTCTGGTCTACAGAGCGAGTTCCAGGGCTACACAGAGAAACTCTGTCTCAAAAAAAGAAGAAAAGTTAAACTTGAGAGTGCAGTGAAAGTTGACAGCTTCAGTCTCTGTGCTTTCTAATTGCAACACCTAATTATTCACAGCTTATATGGGTTCCTCTAAAAACATGTAAGTGTGTTAAGTGAAAAATATAGGAGGCTAGTGGCCTCTCTCTGTCTCTTAAAACAGACCTAGACCACTTGGTCCATCCGAACACTTCCTTTATTCTTTGCAATGAAGTACTGCCTCATCTAACTAAAAAACAAAACAAAACAAAAAATGATCTCACACAACTGAGATTAAAGTGCAATGCTTTAATTGTTTCCTTTAATGGATCATAAATGTTCTGTTTAAATTTTATCAAAAAGGCTGGGCGTTAGCCGGGCGTTGGTGGCGCACATCTTTAATCCCAGCACTCGGGAGGCAGAGGCAGGTGGATCTCTGTGAGTTCGAGACCAGCCTGGACTACCAAGCGAGTTCCAGGACAGCCTCCAAAGCCACAGAGAAACCCTGTCTCGAAAAACCAAAAAAAAAAAAAAAAAAAAAAAGGCTGGGCGTTAGTGGCGCACACCTTTAATCCCAGCACCAGGGAGGCAGAGGCAGGCAGATCTCTTGAGTTTGAGTCCAACCTGTTCAACAGAGTGAGTTCCAGGACAGCCAAGGCTTACACTATATAACCCCTGCTGACCTGGTACTCACTATGTAGCCCAGGCTTGGCTCCAACTTACAGCAATCCTCCCATGCAACCTCCTGGGTGCTGGCACGCGCCACCACACCCACACGTGGTTTATTTTCTTTCAGATGCTTAACACACTTTGGCATTCTTTTCTGCTGTGCCTCACTCTCTCAGTCACACGGTTTTCTAGCATAAGTATGTGTCCTTACCAGTAGCAAGGTATCTTTTAAAGAATCCAGTGGGCCCCTTGATCCACTTGAAATACACTTATTAGCTTTTTCATAGATTCTGGGAAAGTTGAACTCTGGTCCTCTGACTTGTCTGGCAAGTACTTTACCAGCTGAGCTATCACCCCAGTTCAATGAATGGGTTTTAAAAGTTATCCAAGTAAAAGGACCCTTTATCTGTCAGATTCTACTCTGCCTGGAAATTGAGGTGATCCACTGAAATAAAATTGAAAGACACTTCATTTGGCAACTTGATAAATGCAAGTCCTAGAACACAGACTTTAATCATTCTAAGTTCGTCCAACAGAAAGACATAATGATGACCATTACATAGGGCTGTTGGGATGATGTCCTACCTAAAAAGACATAAATGGTATGCTCACATTTATATACATAAACCTACAAGTATATGTGTCTTGGTTAAAGTTTTACTGCTGTGAAGAAATCCCAATGCCATGCCAACTCTTATAAAAGACAACATTTAATGGGACTGGCTTGCTGTTCAGAGGTGTAGTCCATTGTCATCATGGCGGGGAGTATGGTGTCCTCCATTGTCATCATGGCGGGGAGTATGGTGTCCTCCATTGTCATCATGGTGGGGGGGTATGGTGTCCTGCAGGCAGACGTGGCTAGAGAGGCAGCTGAGAGCTCTACATCTGGATCTGCAGGCACATGGAGAAAGAGTGACATTAGGAATGCTTTGAGCTTCTGAAATGTCAAAACTCACCCCAATGACACACTTCCTCAACAAAGTCACACCTCCTCCAAAAAGGCCACACCTTCTAACAGTGCCGCTCCCTATGAGCCTATGGGGATGTTTTCACTCAAACCAGCACAAGTTTTTCTACAAAAAGATGTTTGAAAATACGTTCACTTAAATGTTTACCTTGGCTTTCTCTGGCAGTGAGACTTGTGGAAATTATTTTGTTGTAATTGTTGTTTTGTGTTTTGAGACAAAGTGTCACTAGATAGCCCTGACCAGCTTGGAATGCACAGAGATCCACCTGCCTTAAAGGTGCACCACACCTGGTTCTGAGACTTCTTGTGACACGACTGAATGAGATCTTAGGTAAAGTAAGCCACAGTCATCAGGATTCTGTTGCATATAGTCCTGAGTGACACACACCCTCAAGACCCTGTGAGAATTTACATGTGGTGATGGTTGTTCTTTATTTGGTTTTGGTTCGACTTGGATGCTGGGTGTTGAACCCAGAGTCTCTCAAATGCTAAGTACTGCTCCACCATCATGTTACCCCACCAGCCACAGTATTGCTATTTGTCCAGAGACTGGAACATGGATGTAGCTTAATTGTTAATTGATGAATTTTCAGGTTTCTTCTTCATAAAGGGAATGAAAATTGACAATGTGTCACAGAGTATCAACTAAAATAAAAACTTGGGTAATTTATCCTGAACAGTCACCACAGAGACTGTGGTTAGGGTTAGGATTAGGGTTAGGGTTAGGGTTAGGGTTAGGAACTGTGATAGACTGTATCCTGAGACATGAACCAGACTAAGTCTTTCGTCCCTTAAGTCACTTCTGGATCACATTAAGAGGAAAAGTAGAAAGTAGACTCAGGATCTCTGAGTAGCCAGCATCCCTTCTGAATAGGACAGGAGGGAGAGGCAAAGTTGACATTTATGATAAGGACCAGGGCATCTCACAAGATCCAGGGATGGTGGGGTAGTGATGGTAGCGGTGGTGGTGCACGCCTTTAACCTAGTGCTGGGGAGGCAGAGGCAGTCGGAACTCTGTGAGTTCAAGGCCAGCCTGGTCTACAGAGTAAGTTCAGGATAGCCAGAGCTGTACAGAGAAACCCTGTCTTGAAAAACTAAAAAAAAAATTAAAAACAAAAAAAGCCAAAAACAAACAAACAAAAGAAGACCCAGGGATAAAAATTTAGCTGGGCCAAGTATATACTGCATATTGCAAGCAGAGACTCAAGCATCAGGAGAGCTCTCCAGTCTTTATACTCTCCCTCTCTGATCGTGCATGTTGCCTTCTCATCTTCCCCTTTGCAGATCAGCTTCCTCATTGACCAGAACTCCAGTCATCACCAGATCTGCTTTCTCGGATGACCAGAACTCCAATCATCACTCCTGGAGAGCATCCCAGAGTAGCATGCCGATTGGCAGGCTTCAATCACATGCCCAGCACATGGCAATTCTGAGACCAGTCTACCCAAGATCAGGAAAAAGTCAGTCACCTACAAAAGAGCACGAACCCATTAGATGATACTCAAGATATCAGTCTCATCTCTCAGCCTCTGGCTACAGATGAATCAATTCTAAAGAAAATGCAATACAAGCCATATGAGTTACTTAAACTATTTGGGGTCTGGAGAGATGGCTCAGTGGTAAAGAGCACTTCCAGAGGCCTGGAATTGGTTCACAGTACCCATGTCACCTCACTCCAGCTCCGGGAGATCACTAGCCTCTTTGGGCACTCCATACTCACTCCTACACACACACACACACACACACACACACACACATACACACACAAAAATTTCTGACAAAGAGGTGCAAAACAACAGGTAAGACTAATTTTAACAATTTATCATATTAAACCCAGCACATGTAAAGAATTAATGATTTAATGTGCACTCAATTAAAAGGGAGACATTTTATGCTTTGGGTGTGAGAGGGACAGAGTCTTCTTACATTGTGTAGACTGTCCTCAAACTCCTGCCTCAGCTTCCCTGGAAGCTGGTATTGCAAGCATGCATCACCATGTATGTAAAATGATATTTTACATTCTTTATTACACACTTTGTCTCATTTCTGCACTATGTCTCAGTTTGGGTTGGTCACATTTCAAGTGTTCAGTGGCCACATGTGACAGGAGACTACCACAGTGAATCCACAGACCTAGATTTCTTGGCTGAGATCAGCTTGCTGTTGCTCCCAGCATGCATTGAGGCAGCCAAGGTCTGCAGTACTCCAATACAGCAATTCTCTTGCCTGATTCAGTTGTCATTGTTGCATGTCTGCTCTCGGGCTCAGATAATTGTGCAGGATTGATCATCATTGGCTTTCACAGTGCACATAGCAGAAGCACATTTGGTTGCCAAATTACAATTAGAGCGTTCTTTTTTGATGGAGTCAGAGTTAATGTCTTTGTGTTTGCTTTACTGCAAGAAGAGATTAAAGCCATGCGCATGGCTCACAGGAAGCCGCAGCTCCACCAGTAGGTTGTTCAGGTGGTGGTCATTAGGAAACAGATGAACGTCAGACAGCTGATCGCTCGGCTGCGCTTCAGCTCTGCTTCCCAAAAGTAATAAATACATTTCTCCAAAGAGTGTCTACATTCTCTTCGTTTGCTGTATCCAGGTAAATGGTTGTATGAGACATACTCATTTCTTGCATGAAGAAGGGAAAATACACACACACACATATGTAGATCAAACACTAGGCTTTTGCAAGAAGATCACATACACATTACAGATGACTGTGAGCTGCAATGTGGTTGCTGGGAATTGAACTTGGGACATTGGAAGAGCAGCCAGTGCTCTTAACCTCTGAGTCATCTCTCTAGCCCCCAATAAAGTAGTTTCTATAAAATGGAGGAGGAATATCTGAGGTAAAAGATATGCATATTTAAATTTTTGTAAAAAGGTTTGTGTGTGTATGTGTGTGTGTGCCTGTCTGTCTGTCTGTCTGTCTGTCTGTCTGTCTGTCTCACTCCCTAGAGCTGGAGTCACTGGTAGCAGTGAGCCTCCTGACACAATCTCTAGAAGCTGAACCCAGGTGTTAATGGTGGAAGTTCCACCCCAGGTCCCCAGCATCTCTGGGGAGGGGCCATCATTTGGCGGGCTTTCTGAGATGCAGCAGGGTTTGGAGGGAGATAGGGGAGGGGGCTCGGGTGGAGCTTCCCCCATGACAACCACTCCCACGGGCGTTTAAACTGCACCCCAGAGAACAGACTGGTGGTTTTCTGGTCTCTCTTTCCTGTCTCCTTTCTGGGGGGCTGAAAGGCCATCCGGGAACATTGTATCCATTAAATGTGGGCTTTTTCTAATTTGGTTTGATTTGGTCTGATTTGGATTGCTGCATCAGCAGAGAGGTTTATCGGGGTGTAGAAACTTCACCAGGTTCTCTGGGAGAGCAATACCTGTTCGTTTAAACACTGGTCGTTTAAACATCTCTCTAATCTGATGTTTGTTGTCTTCTTTTTCCATTAAAAATTGTATAGAATGTGCTTTCATTGTGTTTTCCTCTCCCCTAACTCCTCTCAGATCTTCCCCACCTCCCTACTCTCCCAAGTTAATGCACCCCCCATACACATAATCTCCCTCCCTCTTTCCCTCCCTCCCTTCTTCCTTCCTTCGCTCCAAGATACTTCTCAGTCATCCCCTAAAAAGCAAGTTCTGGAGTCTTTTCTAAACAGCAACATAGAAACTGATCCAAGACTATGTTTTTGCCTTTCGACATGTGACAAGAAACTGTTGTCAGTGTTCACAAGCAAAATGCAGCCTCAGATCCGAAGGACAGTGTGACACTTCACGACAAACAGGGCACTATCTAGATTGAAGGATCAGGCGGAGAGAGAGTTTGTTCTCATCCCTGCCTCCTGCAGGCTGGCTGCCCCGCCCTCCCACACTGCTGAACAGCTCTGAAGCCATAGCAGAGAGGCAGGAAGACTTGGGGTGAGGGACTTGTGCACAGTGGCTGCTTGTTTCCCTGAAGACCTCGGGAGACGGCCATTGAAGGGCCCTTTGGGCAAACAGCCGACAGTTAACTGCATGACTCAGACATACTCATCCCACAGAGCTTCTTTCTGAGGCCTCTGCTCCTCAGTTTGTGACGTAAGAGTGACCTGATTTTTTCACATCCTCCCCACTACAAGCAGTAACTACCCTTTCTTTTCTTCTCCAAATAGAAGATTAAGCCGGAAACCATCCCAGAGTTTCAGTGAGCTCCAGGGTTCTTGTTGATGTGTCCCAGTCACCTCCTGCCCCTACTTCCTGCTCCTGAATCTCTGATCAGCCTCTTTGTTCTCTCATTGTCATCCATCCTTCATTGCTGTCCTAGCTGCCAGGGGTTTTCCTGCGGTTTGTGGTAAGGAATGGGGTTATAACACCACCCAGTCAGGCTACATTACGAGGAAAGCCAAGCATCACCCTTCTGGAACACTCTTTAGTCTCTAAACCCTGGAGGGTCTGCTGGCTAAACTTCTCAACCCCCAGCCTTTTGGCAGTTTGTTGGATTACTGTCTCTGTCCCAAGAGTCCTCTGCCATCTTCCCAGACCTCTTCCTACTCAAATCTCCAGCTTCTAAATTCCTGTTGCCTTAGTTGGTATAGTAGCTTAACTGCCTTAGAATTGCAGAGCAACTCCATGTTGAAATTTTGGCTCTTTTGCTTACCTATGTAACTAACCTTCAGTGAGTTACTTCACCTCTCTGGGCTCCGGTGTCTTGTTAAACAACAGGAGTTAAATTCAAATGTATTAAACCCATAGCGTGGAACCTGGCAGGCTTCAACTTTGTAAGTGTTCTGCATTCATAGGCTCTCTTCGTCCATCCTCGGAAATCATACATGAAAGTGTGCTTCTTTAGGTGTATATGGTGGCTCATGCATGTTCCCCCAGCACTCCAGAGGTTGAGGCAGGAGGATTGACTTGAGTTGGAGGCAAGCCAGAGTGACTCACAGACTGATACCCGCTACCACCTTAGCACAGCCAGGAGTTCACTGCTGAAGATGATAATTTTCTCTTCCAGTCATGTGCTGTTATAAAGCCTGTAAAATGCTTCAGCTTGCCAAGGTTTCCTGGTGAACGTGAAGAGGCTCTTGGACAGCATGAACTTGGAGTGTTTCTTGCAATCTAACACCAAGGCACCGTGTGATTGCTCCCGGGGCTCTTTGCATACACATGCACAAGCCTTTCATGGATGCTCTCTTAGACTGGACACTTTCATGTAGCAGGCTTTCTTGGACCACTAGCACCCAAATCATAACATGGAAACATTATTAATTATGAATGTTTGGCCTTTCCTTGTGCTTGGCCCACTAGCTCTCATAGCTTAGTTTAATCTGTTTCTCTTCATCTACGTTTTGCCTTGGGCCTTTTTACCTTTCTTTCATTCTGTACGTCCTGTTTTTCTGCTTCCTCCATGTTTGTCTAGCTGGCAGCTGCCTGGTTGGTTGACCCTCAGCGTCTCCCTCTCTTTCTCCTTTGTTCTCTCCTCCCTCTTGAGCTTAGATCCCTCCTCCTACTTATTCTCTCTGTCAATCCCACCTCTGCCTAGCTATTGGCCGTTCAGGTTTTTAACAATCAGGTGCCTTGGAGAGGTGAAGCAGCACATCTTTACATTGTTAAACAAACACAGCATAAACAAATGTAACACATCTTCCACAACACTTTCAAGTCATCCTTTCTCTTACTCTCCACCCTCAATGCCCCAGCACCCTTGCTAGGGTTCCCTGCAAATCCTCTATCTCTATGTCTACTGCCAGACCCTGGCCATCAGCTCTTGCCTTCTGTGTGTACACGTGTGTAAAGGTCAGAGGACAGCCTTGGGTGCTGGTCTTCGCCTTCCACTCGGTTTAAAATAGGGTCTCTTGTTCTCCCACTGTATGCCAGGCCCATGAGCATCTGGGATTCTCCTGTCTTCACCTCTGCTTTGTGTGTGGGTTCTGGGGATTTGAACTCAGGTTGTCAAGCTTATGTAGCTAACTTATTGTAGTGGCATCTTGCCTTGCCAGCAAAGTTGTAATGGTGGCCACACCTTTTGGACATGGTTTCAGGTGCAGACATGACCCATTATAAGGTAGAGGAGGGGCTGGCTCGAGCTCTCTTGGGTTGCAGAGAGCATTGGAAGAGCAGAGACTGCATCTTCTGGAGCAGGAAGACTACTATGGTTACTTACTCTCTTATCTGTGTAAGCCCTTCCCTAGTAAACACTTACTTATCATTTATCTTGGGTCTGGTGAACGCATTTAAACCCCACCTTCAACTTTTTAACTGTATAGAATTCATTACGAGGTATAGTCTTTGGACCTGGTTAATTTTGATGTATGACTTTTTTTGCAAGTGTTTTATAATAAAACTTATTAAAATAATAAATGTTTTAAAAATTAAGGGTTAGAGTATTACACAGTAGACAAGCATTTGACTTGTTGTTGGCATTTTGGGCAGATAGGGATGGACAGTTATTCTGGCACTCGGGAGTCACAGAATACTGAGTGTTACACAGCTCAGATGGAAAGATATCCTGAAGCTCGGGAGCCAAGGACTACCACAGGCCATAGTAAGCATAGCAGCTTACATACAGCCTTGCCTCGGGAAAGGCTTCCCCAGTGTATCAGCTCTGCTCCAGCAGGACAGGGTCTTCCAGCTGGGGATGTTTGCTCAGTGTAGCAGCTTTGCTCCTCCAGCAGGAGAGGGTTTCATGGACGAAGTTGCAACAGTTCAGCTCTGCTCCGGGAAGTGGAAAGCAGAGTCTAACAACTCTGCTCTGCCAGGGGAAGGTTTCCCCAGGAAAAGTGTTACAGCCCTGCTTGCTCTGCTCTGCTCTGCTCTGCCCAGGGTCGCCTCTGCTCTGCTCTGCTGCTGCTGTCGCAAAAGATCTTCACCCAAAGCTCATGGAAGGGGTTTATTGGGAAGGAAGAATCCAGGAGAGTGGCCGCCCTCTTCCAGAGTGACAGAGGACAGCCTGGTAGTACGAACAGACACAAGCTGAACAGACACGGGGTTTATATAGGGCTTCCAGGGTGGGGATTGGTCAGATTTCAGTGCTGAGCTCAGATTGGCTAGAGCTCTGCTCAGGGATTGGTTGGTTTTCTGCACAGGATTAGGGTCAGATTTGGCTCTGGTTTCAGAGCCAAAGTGTGTTTCTTTCTCTGGTCCTTTTTAGCTCCAATTTTAGGGCCAGGGTGCATTTCTTTCACTGACTCTGATTCCAGGTATAAAGTGTGTTCCTTTGACACTGGGTCAGGGTACATTTCTTTGGTTCTGGTTGCAGGGCCAAAGAGTGTTTCTTTGGCTCTGCTCAGGGTGTGTTTCTTTGGCTGGTCCCTTTTCCCTACACTTGTGAGACTCTAGATTCAGTCCCCAGAGCACAGGCATACACACACACATATATACACACACACACACCATATGTACATACATACCGACACATGCACACATGCTCACACATTACCTGTATGCACAAACACACTAACACTGTACACATACACACACGCATTTCTTTCCCTGCTGTTTAAAAGCACCCACTGCTTCAGATCAAAAGCATGGCAATATTGTCCCATCGCCCCCTCATGTGTCCAGACTCCGTCCTCTGCTACCCTTGCTGTGCCTACCTTTACTTCCTGAAAAGACTACAGAGGAGTCTTGCTTCTCCTCACACCTGTGGCTCTTTCTAGCCTCAGAAGGCACCTTGTCTGGCCACCATTCCCAAATCATCTCACCTCTCAACTCCTCTGGGTCCCGCCATTGAATGCGTTCTCTTCAGCCTCTTTCTCTCCTCCTCTACATAAGCCATGAGCTCCCTGAAGGCGGGGGCCTCTCTGTCTTGTCACTGCTCTGACCCAGCACTTCCATGCCGTATGCCTTGAGTGAGTAAACAGACAAATGATTGATTAAATCTGTAAGGAAATTGAAGTTGAATCACTTAGGTGAATATGTGGTCTGAGGAAACATGCCCGTGGCAGAGGTCCCCAGGGAGCTACCCTTCTGCAGAGGTACCCAGCTCCCTTCTGTGAGCCAGGTGAGATCTGAGACAGCGTGAAGGCCCTGTGACAGCAAATGAAGGCCTCCTCCGCTCTCACCCTGTCTGTAAATGCTGCATCCGTGAAGTGAAAGGGCAGAGCTGCAGTCCCCGGTGCCCATCTCTACCAGCTGCTGCCTTCTTCCACCCACCAGAGAGCCCACCAAGTTGCCATAGCAACAGATGACTGCTCCAGGGTCCAAATAGGGATGTTTGCTTCTCTTGATACTTCTGGATGTAGAGGGAGGGTGTGGGCAGCCCACAGCTATGTCCTTGCTCAACCTGCTTCTGGCCTGTCCTGGTTACTAAGCAAAGTGCCTTCTCCTGTCCCTCCACCTTCATCTCGCACCTCCCGGGACACTCCCTGGACGCATCTGCTTCAGATTCCTCACCTCTGTCTCCCTTCTCCTGCAGTGACAGGAGAGAAGCTGAGCTCACCAGCACCCTGTCTGGGCCCATGAACTGGGAAGAAGAACAAAGGCTTTGGAGTCTCTTGTGGCTCACAGCTCTCTAGACGGCCCTGAGAATATTTTCTTTCTAAATACCATTTTGTTAGTCTAACTACTCTCTCTTGGACTTTTGAGTCTCATGGACAGCCTTTTTTGGTACCCTCAAAAGAAGCAAAACCTGCCTCTTTTCCCCCCAAAGCCCTATTGCTGTTCTTTGTCAAAATCATGACCGCAGCATCTGGACTCCCTCCCTAGGTGAGGGTGAAACAGGCCTCTTCTCATTTCTTACAGCCTCCCAGAGAAGCAAGCATTAGAAATGCATTCACCTCGGCAGGCCTGGTGACACCTGCTTTCAATCCTAGCACTTGAGGAGCAGAGGCAGAAGGACCTCTGTGAGTTGAGGTCCGTCCGATCTCCATGGCAAGCTCCAGGATAACCAGGGTATGGTGGTTTGAAAGAAAATGGCCCCCAAACAGAGTGGTCTTGTTGGAGTAGGTGTGGTCTTGCTGAAGTAAGTGCTACTTGTGGAGGTGGGCTTTGAAGCTATGCCCAGTGTGAGAGACCACTTCCTGTTGCCTGTAAGTCAAGATGTGGGACTCTCGGCTGCATCTCCATCACCACGTCTGCCTGCATGCCGGCACGCTTCCCACACCTCTGAAAATGTACTCTACCCTATAAATGTTTTTCCTTTATGAGTCCCCATGGTCAGGGTGTCTCTTCACAGCAATAGAAACCCTAAGACACAGGGCTATACAGAGAAACCCTGTCTCAGACAGACAGACAAATAAAAGGATACATTATACTGTGAAGGGAAACTGAGACATGGCCATTCCCAGGTCACATGGCCCAGCTGTCATAGGAGCCCTGCAGTGCCATACTCTACACCCACGCATCAGCCCCCACCTCACAGGGAGGCACACATAGGTCCGTGAAACAAATTTAACTTCTCCATCTCCGACTCCAGCTGGTTTCCTGGGCCTTCACGTGGCTCCCTCCCAGGCACAGTGACCAGCAGTTGTTGGCCGTGTCTGGGAGGCATCTCATCACCCCTGCAGGGATTTGATAGCAACTCACTCAAAGAGAGAATAAAGGAAGCATTTTCAGTCCCTTCTTTAGAAACCTTGACTCCAAGCCATAGGCGCAGCACCTCAGATTGGCTGTTACCATGGTGACTGGCTGCTGATCTCTGTTCAATTATGTTAGCCCTGAACTGCAGGACCTCTGTGCCCATTTCCTACCTCCCCACCACAGCCCACCAGCCCCGCCTCTCTGACCCTCAGGCAGTCCCAAATGCCCATGCTTTCTAATTACAGCTTTCCCTGTTCCCTCACCTCCATGATCTGCATTGAACAGCCCATTTATCATGCCCTGCCACTGGCTTTTTATCTGTCTTAAGAAGCATTGATTTATGCATCCAGCCTTGCACTCAGCACACCCACGTGCCCCACTGGGTAGGCAGCTCCAACGCACGACTTCACAGGGCTCACACTCAGAATCTAGTGTTTCACATGCCAGAATGATCCTTGACCTTTCCCTGGCAGTGAAAATAATCAAGCACACATCCAAAACAAATGAACAAATGTGGACTGCGATAAATGTGGTGGGTGTGTAAAAGGGGGGCTTCAGTACCAGATGCATAAAGTGAGGACGTGGCTGCTCCAAGGTGCGGCTGGGGGGACGATTTTTGTTGCCTGTATGAGAGTGTAGCCAGAGGCATCTGGAAGAGCCCAGCGCAGAGAGACGAGGTAGGAGACTAAACAGGACCAGCAGTGGACTGGCCACCAGAGGCGGGGAGAGGGCAGAGAGCCAGAGAGGAAGGGAGGAAAGCTAATGAAATTGAGGACATGACAAATCCTAGGTATGACTGAGGAGAGGGCTCGAACTGAAAATATGAGGGAGAGTTCAGCCAGAGGCATCTGGAAGGGTCCACACTGAGCCAGGCCGTGAGGTGGGGGAGGGGCGGGGAGCAAGAGAGGAAGAGTAGAGAGGGCATAAGAGGGGACCAGGAGCCAAGAGCAGAGGACTAAGAGAGGAGTCGCAGACCAGAGGCCAAGGGTGAGCCAAGAGGACAGCAGAACACATGACTAAAATGGTAAGTTTCTATACAAAAGAGAAGTTGGGGAGATTTAGGGCAGAGGCCTGGTAGGAAGATGCAGCGTGCCAGCGTGCACTCTAACAGGTGCTTGGGACTTCGGCAGGTGATTTCACATGCTAACGAGCACCAGATAGCCACTTGTCCCTTTTGGACCTGACAGTGGCAGGATAGGAGCTGGGTAGCTCAGACCTTTAGCTATAATCTCTGTCTCTTTGGTGCGGCTTAAGCAGAGCATGGCTTCCTGGGGTGGCCCCTTGGCTACCTTTAACTGGCAGGAGTCTAGCTGCCTGCTTGCCATCAACAGGGTATACGCTGTGAAGGGCGTGAGAAGGAGTTGCTTGGTGTCCCTTGGGCACATTTAGACAGATGTGGCAGAGACCAAACTGTCACCAACTGAGAAAAAAATGTGCTGTCATGCAGCTGGGCCTGAAAGTCATCAGGGCTCCATCACTGTCTCGCCTGGTTGTCTCCTCGGACGCCAGCATCCTCCCTTCCCTTTAGAAGGCTTTTCCCACAATGTAGAAGTGTGCTGTGATTACTGGCAGATACTGTGACCTTACCAGTCATGAGAGAGAGCTGACCTCAAAGATTTCCATCCCAAGTTCAAAACTTCAAGGGAAGAGAGACTCATTGGTCTAGGCCAGAGGTTCTCGTGCCCGGATTAGTGAGCCAAGGCCAAGGAACGGATCATAGAGCCCAGAAAAGGAGGCTCCCCCATTCTCGGTTATCTCTTCGTGGTCCCGAGGTGCAGCACACACTGCAGAGTGAAAACCCATCCTAGAGTGTGGCCTCTGACCTCTCAGCTCACCTGACCTCATCCCTGCTCTGGTCTTCACAGTCTCACTTCTGTTCTTGAGAGACAACGTTGCAGTCTGTGCCCCAGCTCAGCCCAATCCTGAGGGTCACCTCCAGGCTCACATCACCGTGCCACCCTCCTGAAAAGTCCCACACAAAGCCCGATCCACTACCAACACTAGGCTGCTGTGCACAGCAGGTTTTACTGAAGGTCCTGCTATAGTAGTCATAAAGGCTCATTAGCAGAGAACCCCAGGTCAAAAGAAAAGAATCTCCCCCTGGAAATGAATGAAGACCTAACATTCCAGTTGAGATGTGTCAATCACCTGGCCAAGGGGCAACTCTAGGAAAGCAGGCTCACCATAAGCCATGCCAAAGAGATAGGTGAGCTTCTCAATGATCTGGGCGAAGGGCTAAGGATGTAAATGAATACAAAGACAGCCACTCATTCTTGCAAGAATGGCATTTATTGTAACAAGAGCAGAGCATTAAACACCAGTAGCAGGCACGGTGGAAAACTACCAAGATCAGGAGCTCATGTTCCCAGGGCCTTCCCGCAAAGGATGGGAGGACAACAGGAACTTGAATTTAGACAATAAGGACCGGTGGAAAACAGGAACTTGCATTCAGGCTATACTGGGAGAAGGGGTCAAGAGGTATTTTGCTAGAAGCTCCTAGTCACAAGCTGGCCATCAGACCCCCATGGGGGAAGGGTGCAACAACTGTTATCCCCCTCCCTGAATCCCCGGCCCCAGCATAGCAGCTTACCCGATCACAGCCCTATAACCTTGTATTTCTTCCCATTTTGCTCTTTCTATCTCATTTCTAAGCATGCTTTCCTTGACACCCTGTGTTTCCCTGACACCTGGAGCATCTCCTGAGCCACTGTCTGCCCCAGGGGAGGTTTCTCCTAAACTGTAGAAAATTATCCATTCAGAAGTTCTTTGTTAATGATGGGACCTGACTTCCCCTGTATCAGTCTTGGGGTGACAGGTGGAGTGAATATAACTCACAGGAGCAACTTTGGCTCTGCCCACAGAGCAATTTTCCCTGGATTCTATGGACTGACAGGGTTTTGCAGCTGCTCCTTGACCTCTCCCCCAGAACTCCCTGCAGGCACCCCCCAAAGCTGTTATGCTTTCTTGAGCAGCAGAGTTCAGCTGTCAGCCTCCACCCAAATCAAACTCCTGAGCTGATGCTTGCGTACCCTAAAAACACAGTGAGGCCATGTTTGGGTGTGCTAAACACCTCATTTGGAGCCTCCAAACAATGCAAGAAGCTTTGGGAAGCTGCTTATTTAATTTACTTCCTATCAGATCCCTAGTGGCCACATTTCCAATGACCTTGGTGAGGCCTGGGGTGGGTACAGGTGGGGGGTGAGGTAGGGGGTGGGTAGGCTCAGCCCTCTTTCTATAGAACCCAGGACCACCAGCCCAGGGATGGCCCCACTCACAATGGGCTGGGCCCTCCTGTGTCAATCACTAGTTAAGAAAAGCCC